GTTTTCTTATTTTGTTGAGTAAATATGTTCAATGTATTGTTACAGTAGTTCACACATGATCAACAGCATACACCGTTGCTCTATAGAACAAGGAATTTCAAAACAATTGAAATTTCAGAAATTTTTAGAATTATAGAATCTTTCAATACATGAAAGATGACGGTAGAGGGTTATAATAATTTTACCCTTAGTGTTGAGAGTAATTGAGTCTTAGTCAACTAAATCAGTCTTGCTACGCGAACCAAGTGTTCCGTACACAAGCCATATTGGTAAACACTTTTAGCGATGCCTTGAAGCATGTACATATTAAATTACAAGTTTCATAAAATAAAGTATAGAAGGAAAATGAATAGAGCCTAATATATTTAGATATTTATAGATTGAAACTAAGTAGAGAAGAAGAACTAGTAATATCTGGAATTGTAAGATAAATAGACATTACTTAAATTATTATTAAGTAACTAATAATTAACAAAATTGTAGACTTAATTATGCTATGTTGCTAAGCTTTATTATTTTTAAATATTCACCTCCTTCAGCGTTAATATTGGTAAGTAAATTAATGAAGTAACTTCTTCAACGCCAACCCTTACGAAGCCTTTTCATAAGAAATGTGTGTATATGTTACAGTAAATACGCATAATTTAGGTATTCTGTAAAATATCTAGACAATGTATTGCAAATTTGTTTGTTGTGTGTCTTATAATCATAAATTATGGATCAAAAATCATTTATTAATGTGTAATATTTTATAAAAGTTTTTTTAATTTGTCTATCAATAATTATCAAGTAATTTTTTATACTTAAAAATGATTTTATATTGTTAATATTTAACGGACGGTGCTCGGTAGGTCATTCGGTAAATCAACAGCACGGTACTCTATTGGTCCTAGGGCGAATTATTCATAATCGTAACGTAAATTGTATCAATATAAATATTATTAAGATAAATAAAAATATTTACAAAATTACACCTTCTCTAAAATAATAAAACGAAAGTTGTATAAAATCTCATATTCTTTTATCACAACTTTTGCACATATAAAAACTAGAATTGTATCATTAAGAATTACGTAAGCATATACAATACTATTCCATACATTACAAGTTTCAGTATCTAGTTATTATACAAAATACCGGATTATTGATACTACCAGTAACGTATAGATGCCGATTTAATATCGAATCCCAGTACGAACATCAAGCGTTATAAACCTGCGGAATGGGATAATTTCAAGGGAATTCATTTGTCTTAGAGTTTGTAACAGTTGTTTCTGCTATACTACAATATATAAAATCTCGTTTGGGGCATGGGGCGAATCATTACTGTGTACATTTCATCGTCCAATTTTATTTACAGGCAAATAGTAAATTAGACTTATATGCGCTGTCTGACCAAATCGATTTATCGTTTCCAGGGTTCGTACACATGATTTTTCGTGTTTAACGCAATGAGCTCCAAAGGCGGTCACTCTAATATAAGGCCTATACATGTTTTATTAAAATCTTGTAAAATACACTGTTATGTAGATTAAATTACAAGGGTTTCGAAAATTTAATAAAATACTGTTTAAATAATAGCCACTCGATTTTAGAATATATATTACCTGAGAATACATGAGGCATTCGAAATTTAAAATATTTGAATGTAGGCAATATATATAGATGGAACTATTATTGACCAAAACGTCGAGACGAAGTTAAAGAAACTTTGATTAATGATATATGTATTTTTGTGCCTCTGCCAAGAATCAAAAACACTAAACTCCTTTAAATATGTCAATTATATACCAATTATTCGTAAAATTATCAAAAATAGTAAAAACAATCAATATACCTATTATGGTTAATAAGATTTAAGGGACTGAAGTATTTTACAAGTTATTTATCAGAATAAAAAAACTAATGGCTTAGTAACACTTACCAAGAAACAATAATAATGCATTGAACACATTAATAATGCAACTTTTATCGACAAGTATTTACCAACGTCAACATGTAAACCCTTTTTTTAATTATTCGAAAACATTGTTTTCTTGTTAAGTATGTTGTTAGAGAAAATGAATTCAATAAATCTAAGGATCACTTTTAATGAAGAATGTTGTTATCTAGAAAATAAAAATAAATATTTTAATAATAATAGGAAAACCTATTCAAAACTGACATTTTAAAGCTGATTTATAATTCTTGAAACCAACGATAAATGAAATAACTAAGTGTTAGTAAACATAAAATATCTCACCTAACGTTTTAACGTGTAGCAATAAATGCAACATTAAAATAGAAGTTACTCATTTAGTACTGGATTAACGCGAATACGCAACAAAATACGAAAATATTCTTATACAAATTGAATTTACAACAAAGTATATTGTACGTATAATTCCAGTTTGTACAAAAACAGCCGAATGGCTTGCCTTGCTTAAAATTGCATTAAGCACGACGTCCTGAGTTTGAATTCCGGGAAAAAAGCACAGAACAATACTATACAGGGTATTAATCAACTGTGCTTTGCCCAACCATGTTTTTGTTATTTTTTCTGATATTCGATATATAAACAAACATATACATTACACAAACAGCTACGCAATAACAATGAAGAAAAAAAATGTAAGTGCTTGAACAGTTTCACAAATAGCTTAAAATTTATATACAATTAGCTACATTATAATTATAGCAATAATAAAGGAAAAAAACATATCGATAAAAATTTCGTTTTTTAAGGCGGTCACGTGATTAAACTGTTTGGAAAATTAATCAGTAATTTAAACTGATTACGAAAACGAATGTAATTGTCGTGGTTATAAATTGGTAAAATGGGAATTAAAATTTATAGATTCATCCAAACGTTGCGGTGACCGACGACGAAGCGGAACGGTAACTTGTGTCTGTCAATGCGCTGTTGCTTCTCAATTACTGAACGCACGGTTAATAATTAAGTGAGTGAGTTCGATCCCCAACTGGTGTAACATGTTTGTTGTTCGTTTGGAAATCTGGTTATTAAAACGGGGTGGTATTAATATCAAAAATTGCGTTCGTCCACAAATGAAAAAGCCATTAAAATCAATCGCAATTCCCCTTCCGCGAATTTCCGATTATCCAAAGACAAAATCGACAGCGCATCATGTTAGATGTAATATGGCTGGCTATTTCACGTTTCACCTATTGCTTGTCCTTCTTTAAAAAAAAACACTTGGAGCTGAATGTACATAAAAGAAAATGCATCTGATAATTTATTTACTGTTTATCTTTTCTTATTCCCTTAAGATATTTCAATATTTATTATTTTTACATTGAAAATGTCTGGAAAGAAGACAACCGATGAAACATACGTCCATCCCTCCCCTTAACCTCTTAACTTAGCGAGTCATCGATCCTATTTTACAATATCATTTTCAAGCAATTCTCCCGCAAAGCTCTCTAATTTTCTATGCATACACCGTTGGTGGAACATAGTAACTTACACTAAGCAGCGTCCTATTCACAAACAAAGCCTTTGTATACAGCCACATCGCTATTCAGGGACGTACGATGTATATGCCATGATTAATCGATTCTACACAACATGTTAGTATGTAAATTGAAGGGTACCTGTTAAAACATTTCCAATGTAATATATTTTTTATAATAGAGGTGGACAGACGGAAGCATGGGGCTAACGGGATGTTAGATGAAATAGCCGAGACGTATAACAACTTAAGATGCACGTCGACCTATTTTGGCTTTCGATATTAGGGAATTCATAAACTGTTTCGGAAACGCGACTAACTCATTGATTTTTAATCTGTGGTCTAATGGTGCTTTGTGTATCACTATTATTAGATATTCAGAATTCAAGATTCAACACATTTCAGATTTCAAGACGAAAGCGAACGTGTCTCAGACAAAAATATAAATTGATTAGAAACATGTTGCAACCAGCCCACCAACCGTTGGTTATATTAGCCTCTATCATTAGACCAACGACCCTGTCCATAAGTTTCTTTTAAATAAAACACTTTAACGGTTTAAAACGCGATATCTCACCGTGACACGGCTGCTGCAAAGCATCCGAAACGTCGGGCCGAAGTTAAAAATCATTTTCAAATAAGTTTAACTAATATATCGCGTTTTGAACCGTTAAAGTGTTTTATTTAAATGTGTACTACTCGCGTAAACTATAGACAGTATTTATAAGTTTCTTTCTTAAAATTTCAAATAAGCCTAAAGAAACATCTGCTCTTTTAGGTTTCCAAAATATTTTAGCTTAAGTAAGCTCATATGAATATTCAATAACAACTTTTTTTTTAATTTAAATTCTGGTATCATGTGTATAGTAAATGTTTCTTGTTCTTGGAGTTTAAAAGACATTATCAAGAACAGATCGTGAACAAAAGTATGGTAAATTGAAAAAGTTAGTAACAAACAGACAGTCGGAGCCACGGAAAGTTTAGTGAGATAGTTTTCTTTGAACGTAGTGGTAAGAAATAGTGAAAATTATTAACAGCTTTGGTTTTTATTGTCAGTTGATAATACTACGTACAACTTTGGCAAGATATAGTAAGCAATAATTTTCAAAGAAAGTGTAGTGACGTAAATATTTTTTTCCGCCATAATGGATTTATTTTTAATAAATACTCGTACATGTCAATCTGTTAAATAGCACTCATGTTATGAAACGTGAAAAAAGGAACGAGAGACAAACTGATTACTATGCTGTGAAGTACAAGAAGAACTTTATAACTACTTATAATACTTACTTATAATATTTTCCTAATAAAGCATTAAAAAAGAAAATAATTTATTCGTACGTCTGATTTTTAGACAGCCTAAAAGTGACTACAAATTCGACTATGACGCGTAGGACACGATACCTCCATTAATTAGAGTAGCAGCTCAGAACGCTGTGGATGTCGGTTTAAGTCCCACCCGTGTCTTATTTTTTCATGTAATAATGGGTTTTTAACTTATACACAACATATTAACATAAATAAACAATATGCATTTTAAATTTCTATAACTTACCGGACATTGGCGAGCGTGTGCCTCCTACTCTTGAGGTACCTTCCGTGGTACTTCTGCAGTTCCCCGATGCTGCCCTGTTCAGCTTGCATTTTGACGTAATGAGACTGTGGAGGTAGTTCGTCTCCAGCTTGACCCGTCGGCGACGCGCTGACCGTCGTAGAGCCACGTTTTCGGGCCTTATTGGACTTTCTAGCAGCCGCCGAAACACATATCTTGACAGAAGATGGGCTTCCGAAGCCGCGCTTCTTTCCTGAACTCCTCGACGATGTGTAAGCAGTGTCTGTGCTACTTCTGGTACTCTTATAGGAAGGGGTAAGGGTTGCGTCCGTTGCGTCTTCTAGCGGCCAGTCCGAATCGTCCTCTTCTTCTATACCAGGTAAAGGGGATTGTTGTCCAAGCGGACGAGGTGAGTTTACTATGGCTTCGGGAGCAACTGCAAGTAAAACAATAGCTTTTAGAATCCTCCTTGTATGAAATACCGTTTCCCATACATGGAGCTGACATTTTTCTGCGTCCGTTGTACTAGTGTCTTTAATTTAAGGATGAATTATACTCGTACTTGACCTAATTTATTTAACGTGTCTCCCCACGATAACTATTTGAATTGAACGAAAGCAATGGTATATATTTAAGTGTATCATATATTTCCCTTATATTTAGAATTGGTAAATCACCTCTAAGAGCGTCCGGAGGGACCTAACAGTAATAGATCCTCCGGAATAGGGAAATATATTGAAATTACGTATTCTACTTCGGTTGGACCCGACCTGTCGCAGGATAATGGTTAATTTCCACCTTTGAAACCGCGGTTTGAATGTGAATAAATCTTTAATAACATTTTTACCGTAAGTCGACGGTAAGTAAGTACATAGTAGCAACTGATATTTTTTGTAGATTTTTTACCGATCTAATAATATCAAATATAATCGTTAAAAATTACCTAGAAGGTCATCTTATAAAAAATACTCATTACAATATAGCTATTGCGTCACATTGCAATGCATCTAAAACGTTGGATTGCACTTAAAAAAAGAACAATTTGCAATTTAAACGGTTAAAATTGTTTTATTTAAACGTGTATCACTCGCGCTTTATTGGAATTATTATTTCAAAAAAATTACTATGTTAGTCCTTACTGAGTCCAATGTGTATCTTTTTTTCTTTTCCAAAAAATTTGGACGCTCAGTTGTTGGTCCCCCCGCGGTCACGAAGCATCGTTTACAGGTGAAAAGGCCGTGAGTTTAATCGTGTTTCAGTTTCAGACAGTGGACACCCAATGTCAAAAGTCAAAATAGGTCCACTGAAGTCCAGGCTTGTCTATTCTCCTCAGTTATAAAAACATACCATTCTACGATTATAGTACTACAAATGGCTCCAAAGCTTAACGCATTGCTGAATCCCTAATTAATCATTGCCATAAATCACCTGCTTTAATTTGTAATTGATATGCGAAATTGATTTATTGCTTGCATTTATCTTTATGAACGTAGCGCGGGAGTGACGTCATCGTACTGAATAGGACTTACAGATCTATAATAAATACGTCATATAACATTTGAATAAAAAAGGTTTACGGTTTCGTCAAAACATATATATTAGTTAAATTTAAGTCGTAGTCACGGTCTTCCCTTGCTACAAAGCATCCGAAACGTCGGGCCGTAGTGCGTAATAATTTTTAAATAAGTTTACCTAATATATATCGCACTGTGCACTACTCGCGTAAGCTAAAGTATAATGAAAAACGGTTAGTTAAAAATCATTTTCAAATAAGTTTAACTAATACATCGCGTTTTAAACCGTTAAAGTGTTTTATTTAAATGTGTACTACTCGCGTAAACTATAGACAGTATTTAATGATATATGTCAAATTAATGGTTCTAAGACACATCGTTTCACTTTAAAATAATACGTCCTTAACGGTTTAAAACTACTAAACGTCTATAATATAAATCATAGATTTAAAACCACTAGACAGTTAAATATTTTTTTAGAATTTGCGTATTGACATGTATATAAAATTGGTGCCTAAGAAATGTTAAGTAAAAAAGATACATAAAATAAGAGATCAGAAGAAAGCAAAAATTACGCTTTATTGTAGAAAATGTAAAGAATTGGCAGTTATATATATCTTCACTACATAGTATAAAACGAAGTCGCTTTTTCTGTCCCTATGTGCGCTTATATCTTTAAAACTACGGAACGGAATTTGATGCGGTTTTTGTTAATATAATGATTCAAGAGGAAGTTTTTCTGTAGTGTATTTAGTATCACCATTGCACACGAGCGAATACGGGGCGGGTCGCTAGTTATAAATATATTGGTTCCTACCACAAAAGAAGCTACGATCGCCTTCAAAAGGTTCATGCTTAACACATGAGGTATCAGGAAATCGGATGCGGAAGCCTGATAGATTGTTTTGTTCAGAAGACTGATCACCTCTGTATGTAAAGAAGAAACTTATCAGTAATATTCCCCCCTAACATTGTAGATATATATATATAAGTATATGCGACTCGACATTTTGTAGCATAGTTAGTATATTAAAAAATGTTCTTTGTTTTAAACCGTTAGCATTATTTAAGACGTGAATTAATATTATTATTTTAATAAGGCCATCATTAAGTACAGTCCATCCTAATATACATGTTTTTGTATTATTATTTGATGCAATAAAAAATCAATAAATATTAAAAAAACTGTTTACTGATTGGCTTTTTCGGATGCTTTGCGGTAGCCGCGTTAACAAGAAGACCTCCAAGGAAGTGCCTTCAGTTGGACTAAAATATATTACAACTAAAAATACAACTTGTTGTAAGTAAAATATGTTAAGTTTCGCGTTTCGCGTTTTAAACCGGTAAAAGTGTTTTATTTCAATGTGTATACCAGCGTAAACTACAGACAGTATTGAATCAACAAATAAATAATATTTTAATCATAACGTTATTTTTGAAAATCCCTTGTTACCTGTTATTTAGAGATTGTGTTACAATACTTGACGTGTCTCGTACAATTACGGTTAAAAACGTAATCGTACAAGACACGTATATCTTGTTAGAAATGAAAACAAGAAAAGAAAATCCTACATCTTAGAGTCTAATGCGATTAGTGTGTTGTAGATTGTGTAAAGTATACCTCATATTATTCAAGAAAAGAATTATTATTTGGCTGAGTTGTTATTATATTCGACTGCAGATACATGATCCAGGATTCGAATCTCTGATTAAGGAAAGAGTTAAAGATAATAGTGAGTCCGATTTTCAAACTTCTAGTACCAACATAGAAAGAAATTCGTGCCTTCAGAAGGACCTTCTGTATTCGGTTCTCATCTATAATAAAAGCTTAAGAATTTTATTTAAATGCGCTAATCTCAGAAACTACTATAGAGATATCAAGAAATACTTTACGCTATAATACGCCAGCAGACTAATAGAGAGGTAATATCAAAAATAAATAATATGTTGCCCAAAATAACTTTGCCACGCAGAGAAAATCGCGGTCCCAGCTAGTCCTACACTAACATAGTAGTTGTGGGAGTCTATACTTTTACAACCACTATATAGAAAACCTGTTTCAACGGCAGGACATTAATATCTGGAACTACCTACAAATGTATATGTTACGTAAGAAATTCATGTTAACATATAAATATCGATTTTTTTAGCAACGAAGCACGTCCTTTGTTATCGAGAGATGAATCCGCTAAGAGGATTATTCCGAATCGAAAACCAAATTCAATGTTTAGCTTTGCACGCGTTTTTATAAAAAGTTAACTAACTGGATTATTTGTTTTAAATCTATTCGCACTTTGACATTAAAGGCTTCAATTCACTTTTGCTTTTGACACCGAAAATGTGAATCAACAATGTTAATTGGCAAAGTTAAAATATTTTTGCAAAACTAGTTTAATATGAATTACCTATTTTTTGAGTGCTGAATTTTTATTTCCAATATAATGTTCAAAGCCAAAATAGATCTTAGATGTTATAAGGTAATTTCACCTTTATCAGTTTTACCCTAATTACGCTTTTAGTTTTACTCCACCCACTCCTCTCTCGTCTAAAAGAAAAAGTCACCAGCCCAACAAACTTGGTCTCTTTCATAGAAGAGGTGACCACCAACAAATGGAACCAGATCAGAACGACGTGACTGTCGGGTTTAAAACCCGAGTTTGACTCTGATCAAATACGCCAACAAATAGCAAAGTGGTAATTTCGAGTTCCTTAAATAACATATATAATAATAATAACCTTTTTAAAAATCGAAAATATTTTTTTTATCTAAATAATGCGCGGAAAATAAAACTAAGTAGTACAACTCAGAACTTTAAAACCGATGACGAAGATGGCGAACAACAATTTTACACGCTAAGGTTTATTTTCACTAAACAGCTGTCTTCAGACATGTCAGTTCGAAATTTAAATTAAACCTTTGACAAGTTACCCCTTCGGTCACCATGTTGCGGAGCAGAAGATCGTTCCATTTTTAAATTACACAATAAATATGAATGTACAAAGTTATTTCTTTAGCCGCTAAACACGAGAGATATCGATTTTTATATACAGACGAAAGAAAGTTATGAAAATAATGCTCATAATAATTTTCAAGCATGTTTCAAAATTATTTATACGAATATTTCAATGATCATATAAGGACCACTAACTGGAAATAAACGAAGTGGCAATAAATCATTCCGCGCCGAACTCTGCACCCGTGAAATTATTGTCAATATATAGAAACCGTTTGGGCGCAATATCGATCCGGCCATAGTAAATATTGGTACAAACGGCCGCTCCCGCAGACTATTGTGGCCGTGTTGTTAAATTGCTATGGGAGCTGGAAACTTTACACTTTGATTGTCGATAATGTAGCGCACATTGTTTAGAGAAATAGCTCTTATCAGACGCAACTGGAGTACTCCTATATTCACTTATACGCCACAAGTTATATTAATAGAGTTAACAAATTTTACTTGAAATGTATTGTAAGTGCAAACATTTAAATAAAAGCAAAACACACCAAAGTCTCCCTACCATGACCACGCTTGCTGCAAGGTATCCGAAACCTAAACCATAGTTAAGCTAAAAATAAGTTAACCTAGCCGTAGTTAAACTAGATAGTCAGATGCTTCAGCAATTTGGTCTGTAATCTATATCTATACTTAATATATAAAGCTGAAGAGTTTGTTTGTTTGTTTGAACGCGCTAATCTCAGGAACTACGGGTTCGAATTGAAAAAATATTTCTGTTTTGTTTAGAGCAACTATCGAGGAAGGTTATAGGCTATAACACATTGCGATGTGACTAATAGGAGCGAAGATACAGCGAGAAATGTGAACAAAACGGGGGAAATTTTTCATCTCTGTAGGTTTCAGATGCGTACGCTGCGAAAACAGTTCCAGATACCTTAACATTATGTATAAAAGAATGATTTCTC